GAGTGACGGGTGGGGGGGGGGGGGGGGGGGGGGTTGTAGAATCTCCCTCCCTGGAGATATTTAAGAGCAGGTTAGACAGTCACATGCCAGGGATTATCCAGACAGCGCTTGGTCCTGCTGAGGGCAGGGGACTGGACTATGACCTCTCGAGGTCTCTTCCAATTTTGTGATGTAGGGAGGAGTTTGAGGTGCAGGGTCCAGGAGGGATTATGGGTGTAGGGGAGGATTCTGGTCTGGGGGAGAGTTGTGACCTGGAGGAGGTGGGGAGAGGGGATACAGAGGGTCTGGGTGGTGGCCTGGGGCAGGTCGTTTTGGAGGGAGAGGAGGTGAGGTACCAGAGGCAGGCTGTAGCAGGGGAGGTGCTTACCTAGATTCCCTGCCTGTGTGCTGGGTGGGCTGCACCATGTGGCTCAGCTCCAGCACAGGGCGCGAGGAAGCGTCGTTCGCTGCCCCCACCTTCAGCAACATTTTTCAGTTCCTATTGGCTGGAAACTAGCCAATGGGAGCTAGGGGGCAGGAACAGTGCGTGAAGCTGTCTCCTCCCAGCCCAGAGTGCAGATCTGGCCTGCTAACCACCTCTTGCCCACTCCTTGTGTGGACAATTAAGGGCTCCAAGAGCGATGAGCCGTCCTCCCAGGCACCCCTGCAGCTCCAGCTGTGATTACCACCCGACAGGCAGAGGCGACCCCCAGAAACCACCTCACAAGTTCAAGCTGGGCTTTGATCTCTGGGCCATTATTTACTCTACAGAGTTTCACAGCTTCGTCTGTCCCCCTCGGGGGAGGGGCAGGCTAACCACCCACGGAAAAAAGCAGCCACTTAGACACGTTAGACGATTAGACTCCCTAGTGATTAGAATGAGGTCATCACAAATGGGTGGGGGAGGGGAAATCTTTTACAAGATAGCATCACCTCATCTTGCACTGGGGTGACCTCTCTGAGCCAGAGCCTACCCTTTGCACTGTGCGCACTTCTGGGGTGATGCAAAGGGAGACGAGAGCCCATTGTTACGAACAGTCTCTGCAAGATAATTTGGTAGAGATAGTCAAGGGTCCCTTGCCTCGTGGTAACACCTACAGGTCCCAAGAAGTGTCCCGTGGTGCTAGCAGCTGTACATGGGTAGAACAAGGGTGTTTAAAATGAGAGTTTTGCCCTCACTTTAATGGGTGCAGGATCAAGATGATGGGAGAATGCTACGAATGGGGGACCACAAGTAACTGAACTCAAACACCTAAAAAGGATGCTCTCCCCTTCCTTGCTGAACTTCAGGATCCCGCACAGGGAAAGGAGCAGACCATGCGTACGGCCAAAGAATCGCACCGAGCCAATGATTAGAATAAGGAAAAAAAAAACACCCAACCCACGGGTGTCATTTTGATTTGGGTGGACAGCCCCATCATTGTAAGAAGTAGGGGCCACAGCTCTCTCATCAACGGGCCATTCAGTCCAGGCGGAATGAAAGAAGCCATTTATTCAGCCAACAGAACTGGCAACAGACACGTCAACATTCCCGAGAAGAATCGAAGCTGCAAGATGAGAGGACCCGAGCACGCGGCTCGACTCTTTCACCCCAGTACAAATCGAGAGCCACGCCGCCGCCGTCAGGGTGGTAAAACTGAAGCAAGAATCGTGCATGTAGTGACTAGGGTGCAGGAATTCCGGAGCAGGTAACACACACACCCCACACACGAAATGTGAGTTTTCTAATTTTAGCACAACCCCACCCTAGTGCCTTCTGGGAGAAAAGCCAGGCAGAGAATGGAATGGAGAAGTAGCTGGGAATTTGGAAAGGCTGCTGTTGAGCAACAGTATCATATACACAGGGACTGGTGCTGGCTGGCCCTCCTTCCACCTATTTGCAAGTCAAAACAGATGTTGCAAAACCGCCTCATTCCCTGGAACTCCATTGTGCGTGCACGCACCATACCCCCAGAGCTCAGCGCTTCGCCCACAGGCTGGCTCTCCAGGTCACTGCAGGATGGGACCCAGGAGATCGGCGCCAACTCACCACCAGAGCTTGGAGGAAGTTCGGGCCCAGATATGAACGTGAGAGCTCAACCCCTTTCAGGGCCAGAATGGCAATAGCCTCTTTTGGGCTAAGAGAGTGGTTTTCAGCCAGTAAATCTAAGCAAGCCAATTAGCACCGACAGACACTTCATGCTACGCTGAATCCTGGGGAGCAGCATGAGGACTACGACACGTGGCAGAGCTGTTCTGATTCCATCCAGTAGAGGGTGGTCATGCTCCACACAGACTAGCCAGCCCACTAAAAGATGCATCCTGTAAAAAGGAGGCAATAGCCCAATCCCAGCTTTGCACCAACCCAGCCACGGATACTATGGAATAAGGCCACATCCCGGGATCGTTTGTATACGTGGCTACTGGCATGTCAGCCACACTGATCTGCACGGACCCTGTGATTAACACTAAAATAGCTCTCCCAAGCCACACCTGGATTGTGCTGGGTGCTGTACAAACACAAACAACATTCCCCAAGAGCTAGCAACAGCATTGTTTGCTCCTGGGTACAGCCAGCCCCCGTCGTGGAGAGGGCCTTATTTTATATACTCTGCAAGCCACTGTGCGATGGTGAGCCCGAGCGTTTGAAATGGCTGGCAGCAGGCCGGCATAGCTGGAAGCACACAAACTCTTCTCTCTCAGAAGAGGCGAGCCAGCTTTACCTCCATGAAGAGCCACCACAGGATTTTTTGCACTTTCGAGCACAGACAGACATCACTCCATCCAAACACCTACTCCATCTCCCTACCCAGCTTTCCACCTTCACGGGGATGTGGACATTTACCATATAACCAACTCAAGGCCAGACTCCTTGGCTGTCCCTATGCAGCACACCACAGCCGGCGGGAGATTCCTACTGAAAGCAAAGCTTGGGCTGTACTCTGGGCCATTGGTTGCATAAAGAGCTGGCCACTCCTGTTTCAGCTGCAAAGGAGACTCTCTGCTCGCTGCAGAGGACAAAGGCCATGCAGTGGAGCAGTTCGGATTCCAAAACAGCAGTGGGCCAAGTAAGCCTGTGTTTGCCGCTTCAGTGCACTAGTAGTAGAGCGGGGTCAAAAAAAAAAAAAAAAAAAAAAAAAAATGGGGGTAGGATGGGAGTCAGATTATTGGTAAATTCTTTCAAATAAAAAAAATACAATGTAACATTTAAAAGAAATTCTAACCAGCTCTACTGTACTTCTATGCACTTTCATCAGAAGGTTGCAGGTGTGACAGATCACCTTCCACATGAAGGCAAGTACTATTGACCTCTTGTAGGCACAAACACATTAAGTGACATGCCAAAGGGCACAGCTTTAGTGGCATAGCTAGAATAGGGATCCTATTTCCCGGTCTAGTAACTAGATTAAAATTCCTAGCAGAGGGAGGATTCAAAGAAAAACAAGATATCCAACCCTCTAACCACCACCACCAGGGCAGAGAGACAGCAAAGCTGAGAGCACAAAGCTGGGAAGGAACACTAGAGAGGCCTTGGGAAACATTTGAATCAAAGCTCATGGAACTTAGCAGAGCAGAAATCTGTGGGGTTTTCAGTGATCTACAAAGGTGACATCTGAGCTGAATAAGTAAGAGAAAGCCAGGAAACAAGAGCACAGGCATGATGAGAAAGAAACCCTGTGGTCTCCACAGATTATGATTAGGAAACCAGCATTGGCGGCTGAGGAGTTAATTGAAACCCCACTGTGCAAAGCTCTCAATGCAGAAGACGCATAGTAATTTTGATTGTAAGATCTAGGGTTAATATTTTATGCCAGTGAACTTACCGCTCAAGGCAGATGTTGTGTTCTCCAGGGCATGGCACACAGCTAGTAAAATACCTAGGGAAAAAAATATGGGTCAGAAACAATACAACAAACAGTTGATTTAAATAGTCAATATTGAGACATACAGAAGACTTTTCAGCTTCTAGCTTTATGGGCAGAGTCAAACATACAAAGAGACCTTTAGGGGACTAAAAAGGGGTCAACAGTTTTGGGAACAGATCCATATATTTTAAGGCCAGAAGGAGTCTCTCTCTCCACACACACAATACTTCCATCAATACAAAACAGAGTAGGAGCAGCAATAATACTTAACATCCATGGAAACTTTCATCCAAGGATCTCAATGCTCTTCTACAAACATTAATTCTTAATATGTGAGAACAGCCACACTGGGTCAGACCAGATGGTCCATCTAGCAGTGTCCTGTCTTCTGACCAATACTAGACACCCCAAAAATGAATGAATAGAACAGGTAATCATCAAGCAATCCATCCCCAGTCACCCATTCCCACCTTCTGATAAACAGAAGCTAGAGACATCATCCTTGCCCATCCTGGCTAATAACTTCATGGAGGATAAATCCATCAATGGCTATCTAGCTTAAACAAAAACACACCGTTATAGCTCTGAGTATCAGAGGGGTAGCCGTGTTAGTCTGAATCAGTCTAAATCTGCAAAAGCGGCGAGGAGTCCTGTGGCACCTGATAGACTAACTGAAGTGTTGGAGCATAAGCTTTCATGGGCAAAGACCCACTTCATCAGATGCACGTAGTGGAAATTTATAAATCCCTGCCTCTGGAAATTTCCACTACATGCATCTGACGAAGTGGGTCTTTGCCCACAAAAGCTCATGCTCCACCACTTTGGTTAGTCTATAAGGTACCACAGGACTCCTCGCCGCTGTTATAGCCTTGGCCTTCACACCATCCTCTGGCAAGGAGTTCTACAGGTTCACTATACTTAGAAATTAGGGCTGCCGAGCGATTAAAAAAAAATTCATCGTGCGATTAATTGTGTGCGCTGCCCCTTTGAAACGCAGCAGCAGCGTTTCAAAGGGGCAGCACTGCCTGGGGTCAGCTGGGGACTCCAGCTGATCCCAGGCTCCTACTGTGCTGCCCCTTTGAAATGCTCTGGCAGCATTTCAAAGGGGCAGTGCCACAGAAACACCTGCAATTAACGTTAAAAAAGTAACATGTTCATTGTGTTGTGTTAATCACAGGCATTAAGGCATGTTAATTGACAGCCCTAATAGAAATACTTCCTTTTGTTTGTTTTAAACCTGCTACCTATTTATTTCATTTGATGACCCCTAGTTCTCATGGTACTGGAAGGGAAAAAAAAAAAAAAAAAAAAAACCCCACACAAAACACAAAACACCACTCTTCACTTTTCCACACCTGTCATGATTTTAGACTGATTATATCTCCTTAGTCTCCTCTTTTCCAAGTCTTATTAATCTCTCCTCATATGGCAGCTATTCCATACCCCTGGAGATTTTTTACACCCTCTTCTGAACTTTTTCCAGTGCCAAGATATCTGTGAAATGAGGTGAGCACATCTGTGTGCACTATAGTTATATCCAGCTACAAATTAGGATGCTGATAGTTAAACAACTTGCCTAAGACCACACAGCTATGGTGTGATCCTGTAACCATTGACCACAATGGGCAAGTCATTCAAGAACCCAGGAATCCCAAGTCCTGGTGGCTCTCATCTATCCAAACTCAAAGAACTGTGTGTACCATAAAGCTCTTATTCAAAGATTGTCCATCATCTACATTAAAATAGCCCTCTTTATTTGAAAGCCAGGTTTATCACAAATTCCACACTCCCCAATTCCATGCAGACAAGTAGAGTTCCAGCTCTTTGTGTTACCAGTTGTTTACAAAAATGGACAAAGTGTGCATCAGAAAGGCAAAGAAGTGTAACAATGTAATCACAATCCTCAACAGAAGCCTAGAGCCAAACTGGTCTGAACGTAAAGGAAGGATTCTAAACAATCCTTGTTTTAAGAGGATTTAAAGAGGGGGGAAAAAATCTCCATGCACTATATATTTGTGAAGGGCATTCTTTTCCCATGCTGGGAGTTAGGAGGAGGAAACTGACCACTAGATGCAGAACTAATAGCAAATCCAGAAAACAATTAGGATTAATTTAGATTGAATTCTCTGGAAATCAGGTCCAACGGAAATGTAAAGCCAGGCTTCATTGATCTAACAAGAGGGATCACGGACTTAGGGAAAACAGTTGCCAGAGATTTCATTCAGGCAGAGGTGCTGGTGAGGCTCACAGAATGTGAAGCCAGAAGAAACCATCAAATCATGGAGTCTGACCTTGTATGTCACAGGCCTGAGGAAGAGGAGCACAGTCTGGATGGCTTATATGATTTTAGAGTATTAGCCTTGAGACTGAATTTCACTACATCAGTTCACCTGGCAGAATATTAAAATTAGGAAATCCCATGTCAGCCAAAGATGGGTGTCCCTGAACCAGACTCTTGGGAGATTTTTTTTTTTTAAATACAAATAAAAAGCTTTGAAATTGCCTTTTGTTCTCTCTTGGAAAAAGGCCAGGCCAAGGCAGCAAGTTGGGATCTAGGAATCTGGATGTAAATACCCCTTCCTAAAACAGAGAGGGTCACAATTAAGACCAAAATGAGGATCTTTAATAAGCAGAGCCAAGAGTGAGGCTCAGCTGTTCCAGCCTGCAGGATTCTCCAACCTTTGCCTGGTTTTGGATCATGCACCATTTGAATTCCCTCCCCTCTGAGCCCTGGGCCAAAACAAACCCCAGACCTAAAGCAACACTCTACTGAAGCCAACTAGTTCTGCTGGCTTTGGGTCAAATCCACTAAGACTCCCACCATAAACCTCTTGCTCAAACAAAGGGCTCATAATCCCAAGTGAAGTTGGTTGGCGTTCTAGGTCTGCAATGAAAACACCAGCCAGAAAAACTGGTAATGTCACAAACAGGTGCCTGGTTATGAACATTCAGCTGTGAAGTTGAGATTGAAGCTACAAGGCACCGGCAAAAACACCCGAGCGTCAATAAGGAAAAGGACCACGCAACTCACTGCCACCGCCTAGATCCGCGTGAGGAACCTTAGGCCAGATGTGGTCCTCTGGATCCAGCCCCCAGGTCAGGGCTCCTCCCCTCCAGCTTTGGGGAGTCTGTGTTGTCAATGCAGGTGCCCCCTCCCCCTCCCACTGTCACCTGACTGATTTTTCTGAGTCAGCAGCCCCCCCACCCAAAATAGGTGGCCCTCCCCCCCCAGTCCTAGATTTTACACACCTGCTGGTTTTAAAAAAGGATTCAGCCCTCGGAATGCTGGCATTTCCCCCAAACTGTGCTCAACGGCGCACCCGGCTGGGCTACCTGGGGGCAGCACAGAGTTTTAACTAGAAGTGCATCAGAACCCAGGTGGGAACCTTTCCAGCACCACCTCTGCATGATTTGCTTCCAGTCTCGGGAAGTGCCCTTAGGTGACATTTGGGGCCAAACTCCCCATCACCGCCCAACTGCCATGGAGTTCCACAAGAGAGAACCTAGCTCACAGACCATCACCTCCAAGCTGGGACCCAGAGAGATGCCAACAGCAGATCCAGTCTGAAGAGAAGAATGTTTTACACATCCCCAAGCTGGTCTCCTCCTCAACTATCCAGCCTGTGATGAGTCAAGGTGGCCTACAGATAGGAGCTCCTCAGAGAGAGCAGTTATTTTGGAGGATCTTTACCTCCCACAAAGAAACAGGCAACAATTGTTAGCTAGATCATGTGTGGAACCTGTTAAAAATTGAGCAGCCCACCTTGTCCAAATAGAGTAGATACTTCTCAGTGGAAGTCTGTAAAGATGGTGAAATCATACAGAAAATGTGTGATGTTAAACAACCAGTGACCTCCGGAAATACTGTGCCACCAACAACTCATTAATTACGGTTTGCAGTGTTGTTGTAACCCTGCTGGCCCCAGGATGTTAGAGAGACCGGGTGGGAGAGGTAATATTACTTATTGGCCCACCTCTCCGTCGGTGAAAGACAAGCTCTCCCTGTCAGCAGAGCTTGTAACTGAAGAGCGTGTGTAGCTGGAAAGCTTGTCTTTTCCACCAGCAGAAGACGATCCAAAGATATTGCTTCACCCACATTCTTTAAGTTAGTTAATTATATGGTGTTACAGCCCCCTTAGAATGTGGGAACAGAGGGACTGCTAACACCGATTGGGCCTGTAATCCATCCAGACCAACAACCCCTTTTGTGATAGTGACTAGCACCAGCTGCTGCGAAGGAAAGTGCAAGAAATTCCACAGCAGGAAGATGCTGTCTGGTCCTAACTTCTAAGCGGAATCGACTGAACTCAATTCCAAAGCAGGACATTTTACAGCCAAGCCAACACTGTTCTTCTGTCACTATTGTAATTCTCAATATTCTTAGCAGCCAGTCCCTCTTAAGCAAGATTTACAGTCTTGTCCTCCACAACATCCTGTGGCAAGGAGTTCCTCAATCTACCCATTCAGAAAAGAGGGATATATTTCCTTTCACTAGCTTTGATTTTCTTATCTTTTAATTCCACTGAATGTCAAGAGAGGGCTGCTGGTGAGGGATTCTCTGTGTCTGAAACAATCCCAACATAATTACTTTTCAAGACGACACAAAGAGCATTTCCCCCCACCCACAGCTGCTGGGGAAAAAAAACAAAAACAAAAAATGAGCAAGTTTGGAAAGGTGGAGAATTGGTCGGGAGATTTGAGCTTTTAACTTGTCTGGATTGCTGGTGGCGAGTTCTATCGAATTGTCTTGCCCTAGGGATGTTAAAATTAGATCAGCTAATCAGTGGTGCTTCTGCTTTGATATGTACAAGAGCCCAGTGGGGACTCTCGTACATTTCAAAGATAGAATGACACTGCTGTGCCCGTGCCCCTGCCCCCTCCCACGGAGCTGTAGTGAGGGAGGGGAGGGGAGAACAGCTTTTTAAGCTGGCTTCCCCCAGCACCCCTCTTCTCTCCCCCCTCCCGATAGAGGCAGCAAGGGGGGAAAAGCAACTAGTGTGTCAACTATCCGA